TGGGATGTGGAGTATAGTGTGTGAGTAGAGTCAAGGGAATTGTAATAGATATATATCATATTTGGGGGGAAGTGGGGCGGCACATTGGGGTAGGGGTGTTGTCACTTTGAGGGGTAAGAAGTATAAGTATTGCACTGTGTTGTACAGCTGTAACTAATTTAAAATAATGTTTATTTCACCATAAAAAATCTTTTATAAAAAAAGAATGTAATTGTCTGCTTACAATTGTACTTATCTGATGATTGGAAGGATTTTATACATATTAACTCCTGGCTCCTTGCATTTAAAGTCTGTGTACAGCTGTCTTTCTCATGTGATTATAGCCTGCTTTTGACCCTGTTTGTTAATGGGGACTGAAAATAACACATTTGCCACATTAGTAGCCACATATCAAGTGCCAAAGGCTGTGTTGATCTATTCCAGTAAAAATACAGCTTCTGAGCTTTGGCTCACAGTTGGTGAGGTTTATCGTAGTACACCTTTATTTACCATTCTAGTTGGAGTTTGTAGGGGCCATAGGGGTGAACTGAATAAGGATGCAATGGGACCACCACTCTAGCAGTTCGTCCTGGATGGCTGCTCCACTGAGCAGTTCCATTGGGGTGAAGTATTGCTTTGTTTTGCTGTCTTGACAAGTGGGATGGGGAGATGGGAGTTGCCAGAGCCTCCTCTTGGCCTTCCTCAACACTCCATCTGTGCAGTTCCAACATCCCCTCTTAATCTACAGTTAGCCACCATTGTGTTCAAGATTTGAGGACCCTTCACAGGAATGTGATAGGATTGATCTCAGATATCCTTCATAGGACATTAAGTCCCAAGTCACAGAAAAGTAGCCCACCCCACATCAATAAAGCCTCCTGTCCAGCTTTGTGTTTCACACCCTGGTCTGTCACGCTCAAGTCCACTCCTTCACATGTTTTCCCTTCCTGTTGGTACATTTTAGCCAGGTCCTGCAATGCTTTCACTGAGGAAGCTGTTTCCTCAGAGGGGGCCTGTAGTCACCTGGTCATGTCATACTGAGACCTGACCCCAGCTATTAGTCTGGAGCAAGTTGGGGAAGAGGGTTTTGGCCCAGGCCCAAGTCCCTATGCTGTCTGAGAGCCATCCAAATTTCCACATCCTAGATCCCAGCTCTCTGACTTTTGCATCTCTGGAACTTACGGTAAAATACTGGGCCAATTTTTCAACACTCCTCCTACAGCTGCAGGAGATGAAGATCTCTTTAAACAGAACCAAGGAGCTCTTTGGTCTCCACCGCAGAAGCAAGATGAAGAAGGGAACTTCATCATTCGGGAAGTGTAAGACGACTCGTTATGCCTTTGCTGTGGCTCTAAGGCCTACCACCTTCAGAAGTCTACCTGTGACAAATGTGGCTGACCTGCTAAGTGGAGGAGAAAGTACAACTGGAGTGCCATGGCTAATGGAAGAATCTGGTGAAATACCAGATGAAATACCAGATGAAGATGAAATACCACCAGGACTGGTTGAATGAGGCACCTAAAAATTGTGTACCACAGATTCAGGCATGGATTCCGTGTAGGAACACTTAAACCCGAGAGGGCAGCTATTATAGCATCCAGTTCATTTTAAGGACTTCAACGATTAGTTGCAACATAAATGTTCTGGTTTAAAAACAAACAAACAAACAAAAAATAACAGTGCCAAGCCTTCTGCTTTCATGCCGTGCCCTATATTGTTAGTTGGCTGAACAGAGCCTGTCATTCTTTTTCTTCAAGGTTCTCTGGGCACTTAGCAAAAGTAGCTAACTCCATAATTCTTGCAATTACCTTTACTCACATTTCATGCAAGTTATACTGCATAATCTAATGTTTCCCCTTGCGCCTGTACCTATCTCAAGTCACAACAGGTAATTGTGCTACAGCACCCCAGGAGTTATCACCCTCTACTTACTAGAGCAACAGCTGGTCCTAGCTGCTGAGTGACTGGACAAGTTGTCCAGTTCCAGAACCCCATCCTGAAAGGTGGTTTTCTAGAGCCACTTATGGTTTGATTCTGATTATAAATATTAATGCATGTTCACATAGAAGATTTTTTAAAATGAGAAAAGTATGAAGAACAAAATGGAAATAACACCAATAATACTTCACATCTATCTCTACTTGGGTGTAATATTAACAATATTGGGATCATATCGTATATACATTTGCAACCTATTTTCTCTTATTATTATAAGCACTTGGGGAAAAGCCTTTAGATCTTGTCAGGTCCTAGAATGTTTTATTTTTTCTGTCCTGGAGACTCCATTTCCAGTATCAAGAAACTTGCTTAGGTGAGCATGAAATCAGAGCAAAAAATGAAAAATAATTAAAAACAGGCAATTGTATGAACAATTGTATCCAGCCATAAGCTCCCTCTCTTTGCATCTTTATGTGCCTACAATGCCGAGAGGGAGCCCTGGGGTTTGGGGCCCAGGTGACTACAGCTGGAGGCCCAAGGTTAAGGCTATGGCCTGCGGAAGGGACGCCACTGGCCATGATAAAGACTTCGCCTGGGCTCACTGGGTGTCCGGCAGGCATAAGCAAGTGAAGATGTCTCAGGCTGGCCTCCTTGAGGAAACGGGGGTCCGCGGGTGGTGGGGAACCCAGTCATTTCCCGGGCTCTAGCTCTGGCCTGCTGCCCAGGACCGGAGCATTCCGGGAAGGTGGGGCAGGGAGCAGGTGGTGACCCCCGCCGGCAGGCAGGGCGGGCGCTGAACCAGGGACCTTCGCCCTTGGGAGCCGGAGGCTCTAGGGTCCCTTGCCCTCAAATTCCTAGCCTCGGGGTCCCCGATGGCCGTCCTCCACTTCGGCCAGCCTCTCCGGGCACCTCCAGGCCTGGCACCCGCCTTAAACCAAAATGATGCAGGTGACTGAAGCGGGGTGGCGCTTCAAGCGAGGCACGTGACCCTGGGCACCGCCCGAGGCCCGCCTCCTGCACCACACTCCAGCCCGGCGACCCACAGCTTGCAGACCGGCGGGAACCATGGCCGGGGGCTCGGCCGGGGCCTGGGCCGTACTCGGCGCGCTTCTTTGGGGCTGCGGGCTGGCGCTGCAGGGAGGGATGCTGTACCCTCGGGAGAGCGCGTCGCGGGAGCGCAAGGAGCTCGACGGCCTCTGGAGCTTCCGCGCCGACTTCTCCGACAACCGGAACCAGGGCTTCGAGCAGCAGTGGTACCGAACGCCGCTGCGGGAGGTGAGGGCTCCAGGGGCCCAGCGCACCGGGCCTGGGCGGGGGAGCTCCTAGAAGCCAGGCGGGGGGCGTGGGATTCTCCCCTTGTGACCGCGGAGCTGCGGGCTAGGAGGAGGGAAAGATGAACGCGCTTGGAGGCCTGAGTGTGGCGCGGGGCGGGGAGGCGGGAGTGGGGGTTG